GACAACTGTACATCCGCGACAGATAACGAAGCTGAGTAACCACTATTTCGCAAATTTACGAAATACCACCCGCGAAACACCGATCCTGCGCAGGATCGATGTTTCAATTGTGACGCGTCCTGAGGAATTGGCGACCAGTTCGTTGTGAGCGAACACGTTCCCCCAGTTTGGTTGTGGGCTGTTGAGGGAGCCCAGTCAACACGATGGAGTCGAGTCCCACGTGTACAACTGGCTTCCTCCAGTCTTCCCCATGGTTTCTTACCGCACGTGTCCGTTCATTGGAGCAGATGAGGGCTGCTGCTTGGTCTGGGCCCAACCCTTACGAGGCTGAGCTGGCCCGAAACAAGCCCTGAAATATCCGGAAAGCAGCCCAATACAGCCCATAAAATCAGGCCATTTTGATTCCTTCCCTCGGTCGCATGCATCAGAAACCCAAGTTTTCTCGCTGCATGCTCTACAGAGCAGAGCACGCTGGGGAAACGGGGGTGGGTGATGGGGGAACTTTGAAGGGGTCCCTCCGTAGTCAGTTCAAAAAGAATTGGGGAAGGGGAGGGGAGCGGGGGGGAGTGTGGAGGAGCAGGTACGCAGGAAATCTGTGGGAGACTCCAAACCGGAATCCGGGCCAGGTAAAAACAAGCCTGAAAATCTCACTTGAGAAAACCCAACCCTGAATTCTCAGGAAAAAACGGACAAATGTCCGTGAATCGTTCGTTTGAGGGTGCGCCTGTCCCACTGCCTGCCGACATTCCACCGTTAGTTGTGGGATGCCAATTGGATCAGACAGGTCCAGTGACAAGTTTTTCAGTTCAGCCTCAGAATGTCTGTCTTGGAAACGTTCTAGCCCGTTATCTTGTTTTGGTGCATAGATTTCTACACAAGGCTGTAAAATGTTATGATAAGAGGACGAAGGGCGGGAAAGTGAAATAATATTTCCGGGATAGCCTCATATTTTAATTTACAAGCAGCGATTATACTCTACACGGCCCTACCGACATGCTTGTTTAGGACGTGGTGCAGATCATCTCGATCTAACGCAATCGGTGGTCGATCGGATCAGATTGCGCGCGATTGGGTGTGATCGTCCCGATCTGACGCAATCATCGATCGCTTCCCGCGCCGCGAGATCTAACCCATGATTTTCGTCGAAACATAACGGAACATCAACCAGGCTAGTAATATGTACTTTCCACCTCAAATTTGGCGAAACCAAGCGAGTGTATCTGTGTCGCGCAATTACAGTGTTGCCCCATTACGCGTGTCACATTCATTTTCATTGGGGCTGTGTTGATTGGTCCAGAGGTTCAGTCTGGAAAGTTTCGACTGTCGCGAGATGTTTTGTAGCAGCGAGCAGAAGCGAGCCTCAGCGACGGTGGTTACAAATCGCGCATAGTCGCCATTCGCCAATCGATTGCATCAGATCGAGGCAATCGATCGCAATCGATTGCGATCTCAAATGCGATCGACAGATTGCCCCCGATTGCCCAAAAGTACCCCTTCGACCTTCTCGGAAATTGTGGATTGCGGGATCGAGGCAATCAGCCTCAGATCACCCCGATCTGTACCACCTCCTTATCTTGCCACCATAGTAGCCAGGCCTCCCGCAGTGTGCGGGGAAATTTTCTTTTTCCCTTTCCACGCTACGCAAAGCTAACGCGCGTCGTGCAGCGCCCAGCTCTCTGGCAAAGATGAAATGTTGCCTCCCCTGCTCACATGTCGACACTCTCCATCCCTCCCATCCCATTCATCAAAGCAGAAACATTTGTCGCTGGCGACTCCTCGCGCCGAGCGTCACCGCCACATCTCACCACCACCTTTCTCTGCGCTATTTTCTTGCTTTGCCAGAGCACTTTCATTGAGCTTCATTTCTTGCTTTGCCAAAGCACATTCATTGAGCTTCTAGAGGCTCTTTCTGGTGAAGGATTATCAACCTCCCGACTAGCTTCTGTCTTCTAAAAGTCCCAGCAGAGTGACTCTTTAGATCGTCCTGTCTCGCTGAATCGAGGTGACCACAAGCGGTTCCCGTCGAAAACGGCCTTAGCTTCCCCTCGCCTAGCACTACTGTCGCGAGTAGTCCTTTTTCGGAATTCCGCCACATTCGCGCGCGATCTATCTGATGAGGAGTTAATGGCGGCCCTGCGCCAAGAATCGTTAATGCACGTCCTGGTCCTAGTAGCATGCGTCGCGTGGACGCTCGCCGTAGCCCTCGCAGGCAGCGACAGCCAGGGTGGTCGTGCCGGTGCAGACGCTGTTGCCGACGCGCAGATCACGCCTAGTAGTAATGGCCCGTCATTTCGTTATAATCTCACCACCATCCTCGCTACCTTAGCCTGCATCGCGCTCGCAACTCTCGCTTCCATACTGTTCCTTTTTTTCGTCGTCGCATCGCGATGGGCAGGCCTAGGTCAGGTCCACTTCAATCCCGCTGCGACCCCGTCGTCGTTGTCGTCAGCGTCGCAGGGCGACGCATCTGGCGCGACTCTTACCGCCTCCAAGACAACCTGTTCGTTCGCGCTGCGAGAGGGTGAATCGCCGTACGCCATCTTCTCGCCGTCCAAGCCAACCTCGACCCGCGCGCGCGTGCAGGCCGTTCTTGAAGTCGTGCTGCCAGCCGCCGTCAAGGCCGTCAGTTGGACCGCTAAGCTGTCAGGGACCTACGCGCCGTGGTTCCGCCCGTCGCACTGGTTCCTCCCAACCGACGTGGAGTCGATGCTCCGGGTCGCGTCGTGGTGCACCGGACTGACCGAATTCGGCGACACGGGGTTCCTCAAGCCTCTCGCGCTCTGCGCGCACGACATGGAGAAGCACGCGCGACTCACGCCGTTCGGCCGCATTGCCATTTGGCTCGACGTGCAGCGCATGCTGCAAGGCCGACTGCGCCTCGTCGACTGCCGCAAGCGCTTCCCGGAAATCGAGGAGCAGCAGATTCGCGCGCCGATGGTCATCCTGGGGATGCCGCGCACCGGCACGACGCTGCTGTACAACCTCCTGTCGCTGGACTACGAGCGGTTCCGCTCACCGCGCTCGTGGGAGTGCCGCTACGTGTACCCGCCGCCGCTGGCGGAGACCTTCCGCGCGGATCCGCGGATTGCGCTGATGGACGGCACGTTCCGCGCGGTGCATGCGGTGATTCCGGATCTGCCCTCCATCCATCCAATGTACCCGGAAGGCCCGCAGGAGACGTTTGAGCTGATGTGCTACGATTTGACGTCGTTCATTATTCCGTTCACGCACATCAGTGCGCCGACGTATCTGGAGTGGTTTATGCGCGCCGATATCACCCCCACGTACGAGTTTCTCAAATGGCAGCTGAAGTACCTCCAGTGGCGGGGACCCAAGGCGGCCCAGTGGTTGCTGAAATCGCCGGAGCATATTTTCTCGTTGCGGTCTATGCTTAAGGTGTTTCCCGACGCGCGGATTATTTGCACGCACCGCGATCCCGTGAAGGTGATTTCGTCCGCGCATAGTCTGATGCGGTGCTTCCGCTCGCTGGCGTCAGATTCGGTGGATAACAGCATGATTGCGCCGCTGTGGGCGCCGCATCTCGCGCGCGCGTTGGATGCTATGATCGACCTGCGCGAAACGGCGACGCTCGGAGCGGACAGTAGCGGAGACGAGGAGGAGAACGGGGTGAGCGCGGACGAGAGCGGGGATGATAGCAGCAGCAGTAGCAGCAGCAGCAGGAAAGGGGCGCGGAGCTTGATCAGCAGCAGCGGGAGAAGCAGCAGGAGCAGCGATAGTGCTGCGAGGGAGGGAGCGCCCTCCGACGGCGTGGATGCGTTGCAGCATTGGGACTCGTCGCTGGCCGTTGATGTGCGATTCCACGAGTTTGTGCGAAACCCCATCGGCGAAATCAAGCGAATATACTTACACTTCGGCGACGAGCTGTCGCCAGTGGCGGAGGCCCGGATGCATCGATATCTCGACGAGGATAGGCTGGAACGGAAAGCGCACCGCCACGTGTACAAGTGGGAAGACACGTGTCTGGATAAGGACCAGGAGAGAATACGGTTCGCCCGTTACGTGAAATACTTCAACGTGGCACAGGAAGGCTAAGGGTGGTGTCGGTATGGCCGTGGAGGCTTCGGGGAAGTTGAGTGGGCTGGGGTGGCTAGGAGGGAAACAAACAGAAGTAGGTTGTGGGGGCGGGAACATGACGACATGTTACCGTACCTTTGGAACCTAGGTGACGAGCGAAGGTGGGGCGGCTTGGGATGCGGTTGCGGGAGGTACGGTAGCAGGCGCAAGGGGGTGATGGGGTCTCCGTGGAGGCTCGAGAAGTTCGGAGGGCACCAATAAATGCTGAAGGTGGGCGCGATAGATGCCAATAAGTTATTTACGACTGTGGTCTATGTTAGGATGGACTAACAAAATACCGGGCACGGTATAGCGGTATAGCAGGGGCTTTGGCGGTGGCTCTGCATAGTGGACCTAGGTGCCTGGGGTTTCACCTGGAGAGACCACTCGTACTGAGGAGATTGTACAGTACTAGCTAGGAGGGATTAATATGGTAGGAGCTGTCACCTATCCATTGATAATCGAACTCCTGCCATAGTCTAGTCTGGGTATCAGAAAGAGCCCTCTTGGCTTCCGAGACACATACAAATAAAGGTAGTTCTTCTTGACTAGTTTCAGAATCCCAGCAACAGCACGACCTTGACCTATTCTGCAGCTGGCCATGATGGGATGAGGCGACATGACACCCACATCAAGGTAACATAGATGCTGTATGGTACACCCACATCAATGAAATTAACATTCCAAGAAAATGAAATGAACCTGTCAACATGGCAACATGCAACACGGCAAGACTGAAGCGACAGCACATTAGTGCCTGCATTAACAGAACGTGCAGCGCGCATCCACTTTCTTGCAAAAAATAGTTGTTGAGTCCTGGCAACCTGCGTGGTCTGTAGTACTAGCGCTGTCCTTTATTAATAAGTCCTTTATTCACAACAGTGTGTCGCACGTGTGCAGTTGTGCTGAGCGCATCAGACAAAAGGCTACTTCTTGGAGGTGCCAAATCCTCCGAAACCCATGAGAGCAGCCATTTCAGGGTCGACCTCGTCCTCTGTGGTCTGCACCTGCTGCTCCTTCTGCACCCCTCCGCACACACCACATGAGAGACATGGGAGGACATGGGAGGGCATGGGAGGACATGGGAGGCATGGGAGGGCATGGGAGGGCATGGGAGGGCATGGGAGGGCATGGGAGGGCATGGGAGGGCATGGGAGGGCATGGGAGGGCATGGGAGGACATGGGAGGGCATGGGAGGGCATGGGAGGGCATGGGAGGGCATGGGAGGACATGGGAGGGCATGGGAGGGCATGGGAGGGCATGGGAGGGCATGGGAGGGCATGGGAGGGCATGGGAGGGCATGGGAGGGCATGGGAGGGCATGGGAGGGCATGGGAGGGCATGGGAGGGCATGGGGCATGGGAGGGCATGGGAGGACATGGGAGGACGTGGGAGGGCATGGGACGGCATGAGAGGACATGGGACGGCATGAGAGGACATGAGAAGACACGAGGGACCTGGAGAATTGAAAAGCAAGCACGGGGCATTGAAAAGGAGCATTGAAGCATGTACCATGGCATGATTGAATGACAACAGCAAAAAAAACACACCAGCAGTTGCCCTCCTGCAACAAGCACCTCTCCTCCTAACGTTACACAACTCCAGATGCACCATCCTTCTTCACTGCCCCCATCAGTCCCTCCCTCCTTTCCCATTCTCTCAATCATACCTTACCACACCCACCACAACCAACACACCATGTTCTCTCCTCAACCCCCCATACTGCACCCACAAGCACAGCAACTCCACCTACCATCGCCCACTCCCTCCTCACCTTCTTCTCCTTCTTTTTCTCCTTCCTCGCCTTTTTCCTCTCCATCTCCTCCTCCTGCTGCTTCAACAACCGTAGCTCAAAGTCTGATGAGGACAGAAGAAGACAGAGAACAAAGGGGAAAGAGAGGCGGAAGAGAGGGGCAAGGGAGGGGGGAGAGAGGAAGAAAGGAGGGGGAAGAGAGGAGGAACGGAGGGGGAAGCGAGGGGGAAGAGAGGAGGACGAGAGTGGGAAGAGAGTGGGAAGGGAGGATGGCGAGAGGGGGAAGAGTGGGGGGGAAGAATGGGAGGGAAGTAGGAAAAGAGAGGAAAGAGAGAGGTAAGCCAGAGGGAAGAAAATGGGAAGAGGGTGGGAAGAGAATGGGAAGAGAGATGGAAGAGAGAGAGAGAAAAAAACGGGAACGATTGTAAGCATGATGAATCTAGGGCGGGCTCAGGATGGGGGAAAACGAGGAGAGAGAAAGGAGAGAGCTGGAAAGAAGCATCTGAAGTGTCCGGAAGGAGCTTCAGCAAGGTTGAGAGGCGGCCCTGAGAGAGGAGCTCCCTTTCCAGCTTTGCAGATTCAACAGCAGGCATTGGGAGCAGTGGGAGAAGCAGAAGGGAGACACGTCGATGGAAGCAACTTCCTCGGAATGAGAAAGAAGTAGCGCAAGGAGAATAAGGAGCACTGACGAAGGCATTAGCGAGCCTGGAAAGATGTTCTGTATTGCAAGGGGGAAATCAAAGGCAAGTGAGCCAGCAAAAAAGGTCTGGTGTACGAAGGTCTACATTCTTCTGCTGCAAGCTCGCTCGCTTCTTCAGCTGCTGCCGACAGCGCTGTGAGTTGCGAGAGAAACAGTGAGAGAAATGGACTGCACTGCACGGCACTGCAGGCAGATGATACCCGCATGAACGGTGGAATGGAATGAAGAGCGCCAATACACACCTCACCTCACCTCACCTCACCTCACCTCACCTCACCTCACCTTCTCCCTCTGCCCTTGCATTAGGGCGAAGACGCCGCCCACCTCCCACCCCATAACCCACAACCCCCAATCCCCCCGCCTCCCACCCGCCACTTTCCCGAACCCCTAGCATGCTCGCGGCCCACGCACCCTGTTCTGTGAACTGCTTTTGCTCCTCTTTCCGCTTCTTGAGGGCAGCAAACCGGCCCTGCACCTGCTCCAAAGACGAACGCTCCACACGCATGGACATGCCTAGTGCCTTCTGGTCTGCAGGGAAGGAAGGGGGGAGGGGAGGGGAGGGGAGAAGGCACATAAGGAGCATCAGGAGAGAGCAGCAGACCAGCAGACCGGGGTCGTGCATGCGCGTGCTGTCCTGTCCAGGGAAGAGTGCCACACTGCATACACTCGCAGGGACATTCCCCATGCCCTCCGGTCTGCAGGGACGCAAAGGGTGAGGGGACATTGGATGGGAAGAGATGAGATGTGGGGGATGGGGAAAAGATGTGGGGGAAATGTGGTGGGGGTTGAGGGGGGGGAGAGATGGGGGAAAGTGAGGGGAGATGGGGGGACATAGGCCCTCTTTGCCCCTCTTTGCCCCTAGATAAAAACAAATAACCGAACCGGTCGAACCACCGAACCGGTTCGTTGACAAACCAGTTCGGACCGTTGCGAACCTACTAAAGAAAACTAGGCCAAGGTTCGGTTGGCAACGAGCCGAACCGCGTCGAACCGAACTGAGGTTCGGTAATTTGCTCATGCCTACACATGTGCAGCAAAAAAAAAAACGACTTTCTTCTTGGGAAAGAGCAAGTGAGCAACAGCAACAGCAAGAGCAAGGGCAAGCGCAAGAGCAGCAGCAAGAGCGACTCACGCTTCTTGCCGTTGATGTGGTGGTCTAGACAATTGGCCGAGTCCTTCACCACACACTGACACACGACTTGTGAGACGCCTCAAAAGACAGGTTTATTTCTTGGGGGAGAGCACGTGAGCAACAGCAACAGCAATAGCGATAGCGACAGCAACTCACGCTTTTTGCCGTTGATGTGGTCTAGATAATTGGCCGAGTCCTTCACCACACACTGACACACGTCACAGAAGTAACCTGCCTGGCGGGTAGCAAGGGGGGAGGGAGGGAGCAATAGGGAAGGTGCCAAGACGATTCAAACTACAGCAAGCAAGCTCTAGAGCCTACACAGCTGAGCTGAAGAGTCATTTCTAAACTGCAGCACCTTACCTTGGATATCCTCCCCCCCCCCCCCCTCCCCCCCTCCACCTTCCACCTTCCGTCCACCCCCATCCCTCCACCGTCCCCCTCCTCCAACACACACACCCACACCACGTCTCCTTGCTTCATGACCTCTCCTGCAGCACTTGCCATGCCATGCCACCCACTGCCCCCCACACCCCCCACCGCACTGCTCGCTCCCTGCGCGTCCTGTCCTCACATCTGCTTGCCCCACGCCCAGAGCCCACCCCTGCCTGGGCTCACCTGCTGGTTGAGAGACGCAGTTGGCAGCACGACCTGCACACAGGGGATAGCAGATAACAGGGGAGAGGGAAGACGGAACAGGGGAAGGGTTTAAGACGTATCCAAACCCCAGCTCTGCCTGGGATCACCTGCTGGTTGAGAGACGCAGTTGGCAGCACGACCTGCGCACAGGGATGAGGAACGAGGAGCACAGGGGATAACAGAGAACAGGAGAGAAGGAAGACGGAACAGAGGACGGGGAATGGGTGATGAGGGAAAGGGGAGGGGGGAGGGGGAAGGGGGGAGGGAGAAGGGGGGGGGGTTGAAACGGACAAGGGGCTGGTTGGTTGGTGTGGGGGTGCGACGGGAAAGCGGAGCAGCGGAACTTCGCCTGTTCCTCAATCTCAAATGATCACAATTGCAGACAGAGATACATGCAATGCAGTCCCCTTCATTCCGCCGCCCCCATTCCGCCGCCCCCATTCTGCTGCCCCCATTCCGCCTCCCCCATTCCGCCTCCCCCATCCCACCCACCTGAGTGCGGCCGAGGTTAGAGGACAGGTCCACCTCGAAGTCCCGCTGCTTCAACGGCGCCCGCGGCAGTGCTGGTGGGGCCGGCCGGCCTGGGAGCACATGGGTGGGCGGGTGGGTGGGTGGGTGGGTGGGTGGGTGGGTGGGTGGGTGGGTGGGTGGGTGGGTGGGTGGGTGGGTGGGTGGGTGCATGGGCACGTGCATGGGTGGGGTTAGAGAGGGCGGATCAACGGGTGAGGATAGGCAGAGAGCGGGTAGGCGGATGAATACAAGACTGCAAGGGCGGAGAAAAACGATGGGAGAGAGGGACACGGGTAGTGGAGGGGGGGGAGATGGCAAGTGAGAGTGATTGTGGGTAAAGTTTGGATGCGAGAGGGGATAATAGGAAGAGATGAGGCAGACATGCATCGGGATGAGAAGAGACGGGCAGGGCGGGAGGGAACAAAAGGGAAGGGAAGAAAAGGGAGGGGAACGGGAGGGGGGAAGGGGAGGGAAGGGAAGGGAAGGGGAGGGAAGGGGAGGGGAGGGGAGGGGAGGGGAGGGGAGGGGAGGGGAGGGGAGGGGAGGGGAGGGGAGGGGAGGGGAGGGAATGTGAGGGGAGGGAATGTGAGGGGAGGGAATGTGAGGGGAGGGAATGTGAGGGGAGGGAATGTGAGGGGAGGGAATGTGAGGGGAGGGAATGTGAGGGGAGGGAATGTGAGGGGAGGGAATGTGAGGGGAGGGAATGTGAGGGGAGGGAAGATTACGTACGTCTATGGCCTCCCTCCTCATCCTCTTCTTCCTGCTCCACACGAACCAGAGAGCAGAGATGGGAAAATAACACAAAAGAGAAGCGCACAGAACAGAACACAAAGCACAGACAGAGCAGCAGCACACCACACCACACCACACCACATCATACCACACTCAAGCTCACAAGCACCGTTACACCATCCCCCCGTCCTGGCCCCCGCACCCTTCCCCCCCATCGCACCGAGCCCGTTCAAATGCAAACCATGCAGACACACATTTGTTGTCATGAGTGTGCGGCACTAGGGAATGATGGGCATGCAAGCAAGGCAGCAAGGATCGGAACAGACAGATTGCAGAAACTGCAGCAAGCAACGCGGGCGAGAGAAACTACAGACTACAGAGCATAATCGTATTCGTATGACATCACCCTCCGCTCACCACCCTCCGCTCACCACCCTCCGCTCACCACCCTCCGCTCACCACCCTCCGCTCACCACCCTCCGCTCACCACCCTCCGCTCACCACCCTCCGCTCACCACCCTCCACTCATCACCCTCCGCTCATCACCCTCCGCTCATCACCCTCCGCTCATCACCACTCTCTCTACCTCCCGCCCTTGCCCGCTCACCCCATCCCTCCCCTTCCACCCTCCCTTCTGCCCTTCATCTCCCCCCCACCCTTTCCCTCCCCCGCTCCTACCTTCCCCCATCTCTCCCCTAATCCTCCTGCGCCTCTCCCTCCCGCCTCCCCCTCTCCCCCTTTCCCCCTCACCTCCTCTCCCCCTCTCCCCCTCCCCCCTCGCCCCCTCTTCCCCGTCCCCCCTATCCGCGCACCTCCTCGCGCTCCCGTGCGCGTTGTATGTACTCCTCCTTGTCCCACTTGCGCCGATGCGTGTCGTCCACCGGCGCTGACGTGGATGGCTGCCGCGCACGACCCCCCCGGATGCGCGCAAACGCGGGGGGGAATGGGGAAGAGGGAAGGGGGAGGCGAGAAGGTGGAAGGGGGAAGGAGAAGGGGGCGCAGTGCGGGAGGGGAAGGGAGTGCGGCAACGGTAGGTGGAGGAGGGAGGAAGTGGGGAGGGAGGAGAAGGGGAGGAAGAGGAGGAGGGAGAGAGGTGGAGTGGGGAGAGAGAGGGACGGTGGTAGACAAGACAGGGAGTTGGGAAGGGAGAAGGTAAGAAGGGAGACGATAAACGATTGAGGCAATGGAATCAGCGAGCAACGTGGCGCGACAGTGTGCGGCCGGCCGACAGCCAGGGCCGTCAACCAAGTTCGCGTGACTACTATCCGTGTCACTAATCGCGTCAATACCCATGTCACTATCCAAATCATTATTGTCCGTGTCAGAATACACTGTTGATCGACGTCGCGTGCTACCATAAATTGGCTGACCCGAGCCAGGCTATTCCACACATCCCGTCAGAGAACGGAATAAAGACACGTACGCACACGCACGCACGCACGCACGCACGCACGCACGCACGCACGCACGCACGCACGCACGCACGCACGCACGCACGCACGCACGCACGCACGCACGCACGCACGCACGCACACACACACACACACACACACACACACACACACACACACACACACACGCGGGTGGTAACCGAGCTGGAGGGATGATGCTGTGGAAGGCCGACGGGGGTCGGCGGAACGGGGGAGTGAGAGGCGGGACTCCCTTCGCGAAGCAAGGCCATCTGATGCGAGACGAATCGCCCGGTCGCTACTTTTGCACAAACCGCCTAGTCTGCAATCCAAGGCGTTGAACGTTGAGAAATCTCTGCAACACCATGCAAGGCAGGGCTTTGCGGACAAGAGAAGCCGTACCTTGGACATGGCGGTTGACGGCGACGCGCGAAGAGAAATCCACTCAGGTAAACGGTGCAGAGGAGAGTTTAGCTCGCGCGGTCAAATCGCCTAAATCACGTTGGCGCGGTTGAGGGTGGTAAGCAGCGCGGATGGTAGGGGTAATTGACTGCTGCTGCTGAATTTCAAGCCTAGCTGTTGAGGCTGAGAATAGTAGGCTCTGGAGTAGCGAGTCTTTTCCTCCAAACCGTTTTGTGGCAGCCACCACATTTTAGGGTTTCGTGAAGCCTTTCGTTGCGAAATCAGGTGACGAGCTCCCAATTCGTCACGTCCCCTGTTCCCCCTCTCCCCGGCAGAGATGACATGCGAGAGTGGCGAAACTAAACACTGCCGCTGAGAGCTGATTCGATACAATACCACACCGGAGCAATCTGTATGGTGAGTCTCAACTAGTTGAATAGATATCTGCAGATGTATTACCCTATCGAGTACACCCCAATCAGATGTTTGCTGGTGTTTGTTGACTTCCAGCTAAGCCAATGAAATATTTCGATCTCAATTCCAATTGTCCAATGATTCTACCGTATTGAAATTAGTTTTAGAAGGTTTTGTATCACAAGTGAGGCACTTGCCTGACAACTAAGGTAGTCCTGGAAGCACAATCACTCCCGGAAATCTGTCCCGAATATACCCTTCTACTTCAAAATCGTCCGTTCCAACCTTCATGAGGCACGGCAGGCCCATGAGCCAGTTAACACCATTTGCAGTGATCTCCTCTGCATCCCACAACCCCAGCATCTCCAGCCGCTGCATATGCCTCAAATACTTCATACCCGAGTCAGTCACACCCAGAGGCAAATAGAAAGTAATCAGCGAGGTGAGGGAGGTAAGATACGACAGCCCGTCCTCCCCCACTCCCGTCTCGTGCAGCGACAGCTCCTCTAACGCCGTCAGCTTCTCCAATTGGAACATACCATCCGACGTAATCGCCTCGAGTCCTCCCAGGTACAGCTTCAGGAGAGACGTCATCCCTTCCAGCCTTGCAAGCCCCGCATTCGTTACCTTGCTGTAGTTGAGAACAAGAGAGCGCAGGCTCGTCACGCGGTCAATACCTTCAAGAGCAGCGTCCGTGCATGAGCCCGTGAGTTCCAGATGCTCGAGTGCGGGCAGGGAGTAGAGCTGTCGCACTCCCATGGCAGAGAAACCTGAGGAGTTCCTGAGGTTTACGGAGGTGAGCTGGCGCAACGAGGTGAGGCGGGAGAGTGCCGTGTTTGAGAGGCTGGAGACGACTATGAATTCCATCTCCGCCTGCTGCGGCGCTGCCTTGGCCCAGAGCGTCAGCAGCGCCTGCAGGGAAGGCATGGGTGGGTGGGTAGTCAGTGTGGCAGGGAGAGGGATGAGAGGTATCAGAGGGAGAAGAGTGAGTGGGATGTAAGGGATGAGAAGCATTAAACAGCAACAGCACCAGGGACAAGCGAGACCCTGAAGATTTATGAGTTCAGCATGGTCCCATGCGTGCCACATGCAACCACAACAACAACCACAACAACAGCAGCAGCAGCAACAGCAGCCGCAGCAGCAGAAGAAGCAGCAGCAGCAGCAGCAGCAGCAGCAGCAGCAGCAGCAGCAGCAGCAGCAGCAGCAGCAGCAGCAGCAGCAGCAGCAGCAGCAGCAGCAGCAGCAGCAGCAGCAGCAGCAGCAGCAGCAGCAGCAACAGCAACATATGCATCCGCTGGTGCGTCTCTTCAACAATGTTCATTTCCCTTCCCACCATCTCGGCTTCACATGGTTGATACACGCATGTCACATGTGTATGGGTGAGTCTCTTCACTCTTACGCTTGTCACTTGCCAAGGTGGCAGCATTTGCTTTTGAACAAAAAAAAAAGAATAAAAAGAACAAAAAATAGAAGAAGAAAAAAAATATGCACTCACCTCCCATAACCTTCCTCTGTCGCGATTACCGTCCTCCACCTTAGCCACTCTGCGCAGCAGCCCATCCACTGCCTTCTGCAGACCCAGCACGGCAGCCTTTATTTCTCCCTCATCCCGCTTTCTCCCTCGACCGCCCGCAGCAGCAGACGCCACCTCCTCCGCCTTCCCCGCCTCATCCAGCTTCCGCCTCTTCCCCTCGGGCATCTCCGCTCCTGCTTGCGCCCCCGCGCCTCCCCCGGGCTGGCTGCGCTCCGCGCGCGCCTTCTTCTGCGCGCTCTTCCCCTCCGCCACCGCCAGCTCCAATTCGTTCGTCCGCTCCTCGGCGTGCGACGCCATCGCGCGCACGTACGCCACTTCCGCCGCCTGCCGTTCCGCCGCAGCCTTAATCCGCGCAATCTCTGCCTTCAGCGCGCCCGCCGCGTCCGCCGCCTCGCTCCGCACCGCGTCCACCTGCTGCTGCAAAACCTCCGCCTGAGACGCAAGCTCACCCCTTAATCCAGCTACGTGCTCCGTTATGAAGTTCTCCACTATCGCGACAATTTCTTTCCCATCGAGAATGTCCGCCGGGGGGTCGTGTCCTGCCTTTCCAGCTTCCCCTGCCGCGGCAATCTCCGCCCCGTTCTTGCCCTTTGCCGTCTCGCCGTGGCTCCCCGTCTCCAACGCCCCTTTCGCCGCTGCGCCCTTTGCCGCTGCGCCCGGCGGCTCTGCGCCTTTCGCTTCTGCGACCTTCGCCTCTGCACCGCTCGCGCCTGCGACCTTCGCCATCCCGCGTCGCAGTTCGGCCAACTCCTTCTTGAGAGCAGCCATGGCCTCCTCCTGCTGTGCCAGCTTCGCCGCTAAATGCTCTACTCGCGCCTCCATTCCTCCTGCGGTGTCACTCACCGTCCCCCCCGCCACCTCCTCCGGTCGGACCGTCACCGGCACTCCGTGTGACATGGCTCCTGTTATCGCCGTTGTAATCGTGACCGTACGAACGTCGAGGTATCGGGGGAGGTTGGTGGTTGGGAAGTGAGAAGAGGTGAGGAGGTGCCTTGCGCCTCTTTGTCCCAATGACAGAGGCGTGTAATATTTCAAGGCTGCTGTCCCCGCTTTCACTTTTTTTTTGTAAAACCTCAGGGCGAATTCCTACGCAGGGACACCATCCGAAGTTGCGACACCTTGACGGGTTGCATATTTGTTTTCGATTGAATGTCTAATTATCAACTAACCTCGTAATTTGACAGGCTTGATAGAACCCGAACCCAACCCTGCAGAGAGGCAAGGTAGTTTCGGTGTGTTCAGTCAGCTGTGCTTAAACAGCTTACTGACATGTGTGGCGTGGAGTGTACTGAGATCGTAGTGATTTCGTGTGTATTTTTCAGCAGTGAAATTTTCGTAGCGTGGTTGTCCGGGTCAGGTTGCTTCGGGGAAGTAGGCGTACATCGTCCAACATGTCCGGAGTTCGGATGGTGTCCGTGCCAAGGAATTCGCTCTCATTACGTCTCCAGGCTCCCTGGCGTCCACCAAACTGAAAGAAAGCATGCCTAACAGTAATGTAAATACGCCCTCGGCAGAAACTCAATAATCTTGCGTACCCGTTTTAGCGAAGAGTTCAGGGGAGCATGGTCAACAGAACGATGCTTCTTGAAGGTGGAAAGCCTTGCTGTACGGAGCGCATTGGTCCTATAGTTTGACTTACCAGATGTTACGAGTGCAATTGAGTGATCGAGCGAGAATTGCACTATCGAAGCAAGAGAACAATGAGCGAAGGCATGAGCGAATAATATATAGCGAAACTACACTGATAACGGTAATGGACTGTGGTTGTCGCGCGACGGGCCTGGGACTGAGGTTTGGGGAAATGTCGAAGCGGAGGCCCGGAGCGCGGGTTACCCGCCGAGCCGTGAGGTCGGGGTGCGACGTGCGAAGGTGGCGGGAGGATTGTCGATGCGAGGGTTGCGAGTGGTAACGGTGCTGACTGTGGTGCTACAGAGGTGTACGCGCTGAGCGGGGACGCGAAGTAAGGAAAAGGAATTTTCCTTACAATACCCCCCCCCCTCCTAAGGAGGTCCTCCTTACGAAAGCACGTGTACATCCCTGAAGTTTCGGCTGCGCAGATACTCTGTGAGGACGGGGTGGTTTTCGACTCTGTCCAGGGGAACCCAGTTGTCTTCAGTGGGTGTACGATCTTTCCAGCGGACCAGGAACTCGATCCTTCGGGCTCCTCGAGGGTCACGAACTCTGTGGCTCATAATTTTCTCAGGTGTGATGATTGGTTCAGTCGGCGGTCGTGTCATGCTGGCTGGCCGATTACGTGGCAGTTGGCTTGTGGACGGTATGTATGGGCGAAGTAGGCTGACGTTGAAGGACGGGCTGACGTACTAGTCAGCGGGGAGGAGGAGATGGGCGGTGACGGACGTAATTATGTGGCTGATGCGGAATGGTCCACAGTATCGGGGGCGAAGTTTTGGGGTGATGGGTAGGCGGAGGTTCTGGGTGTCAAGTAAAACTAGGTCGTCGGGCTGGTAAGTAATAGGTTGGCGGTGGCAGTCGGCGTTGCGTTTAGCGATGACGTTGGCCTTTTTAATTGCGTCGGCCGCTCTGGTCCGTGGTGCTTGCAAAATTTCGGCGAACTGCTGTGCGCGTGGTACCGGGTTGTCGGGATTCGGGGTCATGGGTACTGTCGGGTCTTGTCCGTAGTTCAGGTAAAACGGTGACTGTTGGGTCGTGGCGGATGGCGAGTTGTTGTATGCGAACTCAATAAGTGGCAGCTGTTGTTCCCAGGTGGTTGGGTCATCGCACGTGGCTCGGATGAGTTGCTCCATAGTCTAATTTGTCCGTTCTGTCTGTCCGTCGGTTTCGGGGTGGTACGAAGAACTGAACTGTAGTCGCGTGCCGAACTGCTGCCACAGGTTCCGCCAGAAGTTGCTGGTGGATTTCGTGTCGCGGTCGCTGATGATCGCTGATGGTATCCCGTGCAGTCGAATGACGGTGGAGATGAAGAGTCGAGCCGTTTCTTCGGCTGTGATCGATTTTTTGCAGGTTGCGAAATGTGCCATTTTCGTCAGTCGATCGACGACGACCAGGATCACGTCGTTCCCACTCGCCCCGGCCGGTAACCCCGTGACGAAGTCCATCGTCACCTGCTGCCAAGCATGCTCTAGGGGTGGTATCGGCTGCAACTGTCCTGCCGGCCGCTTTCGTGATGATTTCATGAGCTGGCACGTGGGACACGATGCCACGTGTCGCTGTACGTCAGTCAACATCTCGGGCCAGTAATAGTACCGCTGCAGCTGCTGCCGTGTTTTCTCTACCCCGAAATGCCCCGAGGTAACTCCGTCGTGTGCCTCCTGTAACAGTAATTCCCGTAGCAGTGTATACCCGGGCACCCAGATGCGGTCGGTCCCGGCTTTTACGTAATAGACTCCCCTTGCTGCTGCAAACTGCTGCGAATTTCCTCCTGTGAAGAATGGATCCGTTTGGTACCCGTGGGTAAATAGGCCTGTCAGTAGGGGGCTGGTCTGGGCGAGTAGTATTGCATAGATCTGGGCAGTGGGGCGGGTCAGTGCGTCGGCGATGTTCGAGGATCCCTTTTTGTAGGTGACCGTGTATTGAAAATTGGACTTGATAGAATCGAGCCAGCGAATCTGTCGTGGGTTGAGGTGGGGCTGTGTGCAGAGGTACTGTAGTGATTTATGGTCTGTCCGTACTGTCACTGTCAGAGGTCCACTGGTGATCCCCGATTGATCTTAGGGAAGGGTTACAGGCATGTTGGCCTGGGGGGTTATGGGCGCACTTACCCGCTATACAAACAAGCCCTTTTATCCCAATGGTCTAGTGGTTGGGATTCTGACAGTCACGTCTGGGTCGGTCAAGTAACAGCGCCACACTTTGAATGCATGCACGATCGCGAGCATTTCGCGGTCGTGTATCGAGTAGTTTTTTTCGGGCGGATGCAGTTTTCGTGACACGTATGCGATGGGTTGTAGGCCGTTGCCGAAATCCTGTAGCAGTACGGCTCCGATGGCGATGTCGTTGGCGTCTGTAACGACTTCGAATGGGCGGTGTGGGTCGGCGATGCGCAGTACGGGTGGTGAACAGAGAATATTTTTCAGGGCGGAGAAGGCAGCATGCTCTTTCTCCCCCCACGTAAAAGCGACCCCCTTCCGTAATAAGTCTATCAGTGGTGCTGTTAATCGTGCCATGTCAGGGACGAACCGACGCACTTAATTGACGAAGCCCAAAAAGCTCTGCAGGTCCGTGATATTCGTCGGGGGGTGCCAGGCTTTCACTGTGTCCAACTTCTTCGGGTCAATTTCCACCCCAGCCTCCGAAATAACGTGCCCCAAAAACTCTAGCCTGTCCTGAAAAAACTCACACTTGGAACCCTTGGTCAGTAGCCGGTGCTCGTCTAAAATCTTAAACACTGCTTCCAGATATGCTAAGTGCTGCTGCTTGTCGCGACTGTAGACGAGGATGTCGTCGAGATAAACTATCACGCATTTATCTAAAAGTTGCCTAAACGCCTCGTTCATGGCCATCTGAAATGTCGTCGGTGCGTTGGTTAGCCCGAAAGGCATCACTGTATACTCGAATGACCCGTACCTAGTCCTAAAAGCTGTCTTCGCACAGTCCGATGGTTCGACCCGAATCTGATGGTAACCCCCCCGGAGATCTATTTTCAAAAAAACTCGTGCTGTTCGTAGTTGATCTATCAGCTCGTTGGCGCGGGAAATAGGGTATCGCGACTTGACTGTTACCCGGTTCAGTGCTCTGTAATCGATGCACATGCGGAACCCCCCGTCTTTTTTCGGCGTGAACAAGATCGGTGCGGCGAACGGGGAGGAACTCGGTCGGATGAATTTCTTCTCTAACAGGTAATCCAACTGCTTCCTGAGCTCGTCAAGCTCGGGCTGTGTCAGTCTGAACTGGAGCTGTACAGTTGGCTGTGCCCCCGGTTCTAATTCTTTTCGGTGGTCATATGCTCGCTGAGGTGGCAGTCCTTCCGGTAAGTCGTCGGGAAAAATCCCGGGGTATCGTTTCAACAGTTCCTGCAGTTCGGGCGGTACCGCTGCCAGCAGTTTCTTGAAATCACTCGGATGCTCTGCTCCCTCGACCACTGCAATGTCTACTGCGTACACGTCGGCTCCAGCAGCAACAGCCCGTTTCATGGTGACGGCGTTGACGTGTACCGTTGAAGACTCGGGCGACTGCCAGCGAGGTAGCTCAACCCAGTTACCGCTACTTCGCACAATGCAGCTACCCGTCGTCCAGTCAATTCGCGGGTTATACCGTCGCAGCCAATCACGTCCCAGTAAAATGTCGTGCCCATCTAGTGTCGTAACGAGCATTTCCTGTGTAAATCCGAAATTTCCCCCGCAGCGGACTTTGACTCTTTCCACCCTTTCCCGTATAACCAGTGGCGTGCCGTCAACTAAGCGTGCGTCTATCTCAGGTAAACAACGGCTAAGTGTCAGTTGCAGTTTTCGTGCGGTTGCGGTATTAACTAAACTGTGACTTGCTCCTCCGTCGATAAAAATCTTCACTGCTGCTCCCTGTATTTTCCCGTGGATCAGTAGTGGGCAATCCGTCGCTGTACCCTCCTTATTCGTCCGAGCCCGATCGATTGCATGAATCGGTACTGTGACTCGGTGAGGGTCGGTTGGGTTGGACGAGCAGGCAGTCTCGTCTCAGTTGGCCCGATTCCTACTGACTGCTGGCGTTTCCCTGCCTTGGAGACTCCCTCCCCTATTCTGCTCTGCGGTGCCTCAGCTCCTCTGGGCATTCACTCTTGCGATGGCCCGGCCTATTGCAAGCAAAGCAGCGCCCTTTAAACGGCGCGGCAGCTGCATTCGTCGCAACGGCATGTACGGTGGCGTGCTCGGTCGGTCCCCGAGGGCGATGTCCGTAGTAGGACCCCGGTCTCGGACGGCGCAAAATGTCGATTTGCTCGGCGAGCGGGAGAATCTCGTTGAAATTCGAGAGTCCGCGTAGCATGATTTCGTGCAAAATGTCCGGCTTCAGCCCTCCGACGTAACGGTCTACCCGCTCCGCTTCGTGCATGTAGCCGACTTGCTCGCATGATGCGAGAAAACCGCTCGTGTAGTCTTGAACCGACCCGAGCTGCCGCCAAGTACGCAGTCTCTGACGCGCCGAAATAGAAGCCGCGATCGGCTCGAAGCGCGCCCGAAGCCCTGCGCACCACGCATCCCACGTGCTGTACTCGGCGGTTTCGCAAAATGAACACCAGGTGACGGCTGGACCCGTGGGCCCTTCCTCTTGCGATGGTGGCTTATAGGCGCATGGCGACGTCACAATGACTCGCCACCAGTCCATGGCGGGGCCCCTCAGCAGCTTTTCGGCATATCGGATCTTCGCTGCGTCCGACTCGACGTAGTTTGCGTAGAAAAATACGTTCATCGTGAAGACCCACGATTGAACCGTCGGACCTCCACGCTGGCTTGGGTCGAAACAGGGCAGGCGCTGTGGCTTGAGTGGCATTGGTGCCATGATGGCCTGGTCGGCACTTGTCGCCGCGAACTCCACGTGCCGACAGGTTTCACGAGGCTCCCGCGGGCTTGGTGCGACCCTGTTTCTCCCCATGCCTGGCATCGGTTGGGCGGCGCCATCACTGGCTGCGCCTGAGCGCTATCCCACGCTGTCGTTCTGTGTTGGTGTGCCTGATGAAATGACGATCGGCTCCTCCGATTGTGTAGGTGCGTGTGGTGGCGCCGGAGTATTCACCGTAGATTGCTGACGCGCGGAGTCACGTTCTGCCGTGAGTTTCGCAATTTCGAGCGCCGATTCTTCAACTTGGCGCACGAGACGGTCGACTTGCTCCTGCATCAGTATCGCGAGAGTAAATTCGGCCATGGCGGGGGTGTCGGGCAACCTCAGCGAGAGCCTCTGTCGTGGCCGTGCGTGCTTACGAGAGAGCACTACGAGCGGCGGTGCTGTGTCGCTGAAAGACGTCTACCCCCCCCCAAAAAAATTGAGATAGTGGGGAAGCGAAGGTGTGGGTGCGGTCCGAGAAGAGATCGTAGGCTCTGATACCAAGTGTTACGAGTGCAATTGAGTGATCGAGCGAGAATTGCACTATCGAAGCAAGAGTTCAATGAGCGAAGGCATGAGCGGATGATATATAGCGAAACTACAGTGGTAACAGTAATGGACTGTGGTTGTCGCGCGACGGGCCTGGGACTGAGGTTTGGGGAAATGTCGAAGCGGAGGCCCAGAGCGCGGGTTACCCGCCGAGCCGTGAGGTCGGGGTACGACGTGCGAAGGTGGCGGGAGGATTGTCGATGCGAGGGTTGCGAGTGGTAACGGTGCTGACTGTGGTGCTACAGTGGTGTACGCGCTGAGCGGGGACTCGAAGTAAGGAAAAGGAACTTTCCTTACACCAGACATGCTTGACGCGCTACTTCGTATTCGTGTCGTGCATGTACACTATATTTGAATGTCACTCCGGTGATGATAACCTGGGGATATGCGGAATTATGCTAATTAAATTAAAAATAACAGTATCACATTAACAATGCTTACAAACAATAAGACAACTATGTGGATTGTCGAAAACAAGCTTCTTCAAGCACGAAAAACGACGCAGTAGCCTACAGCTAAAGTGGTCCTGGAGTTACAACCATTCCCAGAAAATTGTCCCGAATTAACCCTTCTACATTCTCATCATCCGAACCAATCTTCCTAAGGCACAGCAGGCCCTTGAGCCAATTAATACCATTTGCAGTAATCTCCACATCCCACAGCCCCAGCCTCTCCAGCCGATTCATATTCCTCAAATACTTCATGCGTGAGTCAATCACTCGGGGGGGCACTGTGAAGTAATTTAGGTTGGCGAGAGAGGTAAGGTGCATCAGCCCATCCTCCCCCACTCCTGACTCATGCAGTGAAAGCTCCTCCAATGCAGTCAGCTTCCCCACATGGGCCATACCAGCAGATGTAATCCCCGTGCATCCTCCCAGGTGCAGCTTCAGGAGAGACGTCATTCCTTCCAGCCTTGCAAGCCCCACGTCTGTGATCCCGCTGTTGAAAAGAATCAGCGTGCGCAGGCTCTTCACGCGGTCGATGCCTTCCAGAGCAGCGTCGGTGCACGAGCCCGTGAGATCCAGATGCACGAGCGATGGAAGGGAGTAGAGCTTGCGCACTCCCACCGCAGAGAAGCCTGAGGAGTCCCCAAGGTCGACGGTTATGAGCTGGCGCAACGAAGTGAGGTGGGTTAGGGCACCGTTTGTGAGGGTAGAGATGCCTCTGAGGGTCACCTCTGTCTGCTGCGGCGCTGCCTTGGCCCAGAGCGTCAGCAGCGCCTGGAGGGAAGGCATGGGTGGGCAGTGAACATACCACGGAGAGGGATGAGAAGGGTGAGAGGGGTGAGAGGGGTGAGAGGGATGAGAGGGGTGAGAGGGGTGAGAGGGATGAGAAGGGTGAGAGGGGTGAGAGGGGTGAGAGGGATGAGAGGGGTGAGAGGGGTGAGAGGGATGAGAGGGACGAGAGGGATGAGAGGGGTGAGAGGGGTGAGATGGATGAGAGGGATGAGAAGGGTGAGAGGGGTGAGAGGGGTGAGAGGGATGAGAGGGGTGAGAGGGGTGAGAGGGATGAGAGGGATGAGAAGGGTGAGAGGGGTGAGAGGGGTGAGAGGGATGAGAGGGGTGAGAGGGGTGAGAGGGATGAGAGGGGTGAGAGGGGTGAGAGGGGTGAGAGGGATGAGAAGGGTGAGAGGGGTGAGAGGGGTGAGAGGGATGAGAGGGGTGAGAGGGGTGAGAGGGATGAGAGGGGTGAGAGGGGTGAGAGGGATGAGAGGGGTGAGAGGGGTAAGAGGGATGAGAGGGATGAGAAGGGTGAGAGGGGTGAGAGGGGTGAGAGGGATAAGAAGGGTGAGAGGAATCAAACAGTAGCAGCTGCGGGGAGAAGCTAGAGGCTGAAGCTTCATGAGTACAGTCAGCCATCCGGCATCATGCCACTGTACACATGCTCACATGTGCGACATGCTGCATGGTCCCACGCGTGCCACAAACAAACGTCCTCAGCTTTGCATGCGTCATTCGCACTCATGACCAGGATCATGTGTCCGGCCATCTCAGATTCGCATGAGTGGTCCATGCATGCTCTCACGCGTTTCACTTGTCCGATGGAACCCCAGACGGGAGCCATAGTCTTTACGTGGCAGCAACTAGGTTCAATCCTTGTAAAAAATTGTTGTTAGTAAAAAGTTTGCTTGTTTTCTCTTGTGGAGAAAACCGGTTTCGGCTTATAGCCTTCCTCAGACCACAAAATGAAAATGAAGCAAACTAGAGCTAATATACTACTCCCAAGGGCTCCACGCGAGGCATTCCTTCGCTGGGCCAGGGAGAAGCTGTACTGTAGGGCTGTAACAAACACTACACTACACTAACTCTTATGAGCAGAAACTAAATAATTTCCAACTCTTTTAGGCAATTTCCAAGCAACGATAGCTCTCCGTGTAGAAAACACACCGTGTGACATTGTAGCGAGTTGATTTTTGAGTCGACTCAAAATGCCCCCCCAAGCGAGAACGGTCAACCAGCGGGTTGAGCAGCAGTTTCAGGACAAGGGGGCCACGGGTTGGAGAGTTTTGTAAAGCAGATGTGCGTTGGAGTAGTTCCCCACGATCAGAAAAAGAGACTGACTTAAAAATCGGAAGAAGGAATTTCTCCGAGTAACCGCGAGCCCGTAAACGGGTAAAGAAAAGAGCGCGAGAGTGGAGGAAGTCAGAGCGTGAGGATGATCGCAGTAAAAAGCGTTGTAGCTCGTTGCGGATGAAACCAAGCTTAGTAGCTCGGGTGTGATAAGACTTAAACGGAAGGTATAAGTAGCGGTTCATCGGCTTCTGAAACAGCTTCAGATCCAGTGTGCCAGAAGATGAGAACCTCTCCCCCTTAAAAACCGTTAAGTCGAGAAAGTCCATAGTCTGTTCTGAAATGACCCAGGTAAGACGAATGGAAGGACGTAAGGTGTCGAACCACTTCTGAAAAATGTCAAACTCCTCCCGCGTCCCTTCCCACATGACCAAACCGTCATCAATGAAGCGACGGTGTAAGGCGGGAAAAACGTGCAGTGAGGAGTGCAGTTGAATGTCCAGGTAGCTTAGAAAAAGGACCGCGAAGCAAACAGCTACAGAGGTACCCATGGCTGTGCCCTGAACTTGACGAAAGAAACGGCCGTTGAAAGACACAAAGCTGTTGAACATCACCCATCTCAAAAGGCGGATGATAACAGGTGCAAGCGGATGACGTTCTTTCCGAAGAAAATAATCGACGGCGTCAATACCGTCCCAAAGAGGAATTGACGGATAGAGAGATTCAACGTCATATGACGCGAGCAGTAGATTAGAAGAAAAGCTCCATTTTTCCAGCTCCAGAATAAGGCTTTTAGAGTCCTTGAAGTAAGTAGACTGCTTTAGCACCAGAGGCCGGAGGACGGAGTCAAACCATTTAGAGGCATTAGTGGTAATCCATGAATGACAGGCCGCAATAGGCCGACCGGCAGGAATCTTCTTGTGTATTTTAAGAAGAACGTAGAACGCAGGGACCTTCCAGCCGGATTTTGGTTTATGGAAAAAGGAGTCCCAAATCCGAGCTTTAATAAGGGGATTCCACTCAGCTCGAATAGAATGAAGCTCGCCAAGGATTTCCGAGATAGGAACCTCTGAATACTCCTTGTAGACTTTAGGATCAAGCAGGTGTTTCAAGCATTTGTCTTGATAAAAATCCCTGCTCATCACCGTTAGTCCAAGGTTCTTATCAGCTGGTTTAAAAATGAGATTCAGATCCCTTGCAAGGCGTCGGAGTGTCGGAATGATATTCTTCGACTTGCGGGTGAGTGTAGAGAAAGATTGACCAGAGATTTCTTTAATGGCTGCTTCTTTGAAAACCTCCAGAGCCGTCTCAATTTCTGGAGAGGCCAACGGAGGAGACCAATCGACTCGTTTAGGTAGTTTGTACCCTGAGTAACCAAGAGAATCAGCTCCATTAAAAAGAAACATGGTACGAACACTCCTGAAAAAGGATGACAATTCCGCTTCGAAGCTAGCGACACTACGAATCACAGGAACAGGTATGTTCTTAAGACCAAGACTCAGTAAATTCAGTTCTTTCGGTGAAAACGAATGGTTGCTGTAGTTGTGAAGACCGCGGTTGGTAACACGACATTGCAGCTGATACTCGGTCTGTCTGCCGAAGAGGATCAGTGCATATGCATGAACATCACCGACTAACACGTCTGTGTTCTTCCGCGGCCTCCACCTCCCCCGTTTTTTGAAGCAGATCTCTTCGCAGGAGGACCAGCGGCGTTGCGACCAGCGGTCTTAGCGTAAGAACGGCCGACGGTCTTAACAGCAGCCTGTTCAGCATCATCAGTGTGCTTCTTGAGGTGGGTATAACCCTTTCCAGCATCATCCTGCTTCGGCTTCTTGGCGTCATTAGAGTTGCGGGAACCGTTTCCGTTTTTCGGAGTGGAAGTTTTCTTCCCCTTAGCCCCTGTCTTCCTGATAATAACACCGGATTTGTTAGTCTTGGATTTGGAATGAGCAGAAACCTTAGCATTAAAGCCGTTGCCCTTTGCGCCGTTGCTGTTCTTCCTCTTGGCAGGAGACTTAGAGGAGGAGGACTGCTTCAGGATTTTTTCCGCTTCTTGGCGAGCAATCTCCCGAACGGTAGGGTCAACAGGTAAGCTTTCTGCTTCAGCAACCGCAGCTGCTTTCTTAACAGTGATCTCGTCCTTTTTCTGCTTCAGGAGAATTTCAGCCATGTTAGTCTCCATGTAGATAACAGAAACCTCATGCTTAAACTCCAGCAAGACCCTGTTTTTAAAGAAATCAAGACCGTCGATGAGCTTAGAATTCCTCAAGCCGAGATCAGGCTTCTTATTAAGGTCGATGAAGTTGTCGATGTGGTGTCGTAGGGACAGGTGGAGGGAGCAGGCGTCGCTCAAAGCTTTATTAATAGCTTTCTTCTTCATGGAGATCATAATATCCTGAGCATTCTGGCAGTAAGCCATCCGAGCCGCTTCCAGGTTCTTATCAGCTTCCTGACGAAGATCTTCGACATTGCAGACGAAGTTAAAAGGCTTGGTCCAGATGGAGTGCGGGATTATCCCGTTTTTCTTCTGCTCTTCCATGAAAGTAAGTTGCTGAAGCAGCGTCCGATATTTGCCAAAGTGCTTTTTGAAATCACTGACGGCTTGCTTCTTCTGCGTGTTCAGATACGTCGGAGTAGCCTGCTTTTCCAAAAAGGATTTGTCAAGTTCTCCGAAAAAATCAAGAGCATCAGACATGATAGTGTCATTGACGTCGTCGATGATCAAACAGGTGTGCACCGCTTCTTGTCCAGGAACCTTAGCCGTGGTAGCAGGAGCAGCCATGGTAGCAGGTATAATGCCTGGAGCAGTAGTAGTTCCAGCTGGAGTAGCTTCTGAGGTAGCGAGAGCTCTCCTCTTGCTGGGTCTGGGTGCTGAAGGAACTTCGAATGTGAAGTCCTTCGATGCGACCGGCTCTTTATCCTTGTGAGAACTCTTATTGGTGGAGTTCGCTGGTTTACGCGAAGTTCCCTGGGTCCTTGGAGTTTCAGAGGCGCGGTCAACATTGGTATTGGATGTTTTTGTTGCATTGAACTTGTAGTCGGCCATCGTAGAAGAATCTTTGATAAGTCCGATGGAACCCCAGATGGGAGCCATAGTCTTTACGTGGCATCAACTAGGTTCAATCCTTGTAAAAAAATGTTGTTAGTAAAAAGTTTGCTTGTTTTCTCTTGTGGAGAAAATTTCGGCGGTAACCGGTTTCGGCTTATAGCCTTCCTCAGACCACAAAATGAAAATGAAGCAAACTAGAGCTAATATACTACTCCCAAGGGCTCCACGCGAGGCATTCCTTCGCTGGGCCAGGGAGAAGCTGTACTGTAGGGTTGTAACAAACATTACACTACACTAACTCTTATGAGCAAAAAACTAGATAATTTCCAACTCTTTTAGGCAACTTTCAAGCGACGATAGCTCTCTGTGTAGAAAACACACCGTGTGACATTGTAGCGAGTTGATTTTTGAGTCGACTCAAAAATGACCAGGATCATGTGTCCGGCCATCTCAGATTCGCATGTGTGGTCCATGCATGCTCTCACGCGTTTCACTTGCCAGTGCCGGCAACCGTTGCTTTTGAAATCAATAATGACAATAAATAATGAAATCGCATACAAGCGAACAGAAAGCGCATCCACTCACCTCCCATAGAATCCCTCGGTCGGCACTCCTGCTCTCCACCGTACCCAATCTGTCCTGCAGACCCTCCACCCGAGTCCTCAGTCCCAACAAGCCCGCCTTCCATTCCGCCTCAGCCTGCTTCCCATCGGAAGCACCGCGATTGGCAATGAGTGCGCCACCGCCCGCAGCAGCATGCTCCATCTCCTCCGCCTTCCCCGTCTCCTCCAGCTTCCGCCTCTTCCCCTCGGGCGTCTCCGCTCCTCCGTGTCCCCCCGCGCTTCCCCCGGCTTGGCTGCGCTCCGCGCGTACCTTCTCCCGCGCGCCCTTCCCCTCCGCCACCGCCAGCTCCACGTCGTTCATCCGCGCCTCAGCGTGCGCCGCCGTCGCGCGCACGTGCGCCACCTCCGCCGCCTGGCGCTCCGCCGCAGCCTTCATCAGCGCAATCTCCGCCTTCAGCGCGCTCGCCGCGCCGGCCGCCTCGCTCCGCACTGTCTCCGCCTGCAGCTTCAAACCCTCCGCCGTAGACGCAAGCTCGCTTCTTAATATCTTTATGAAGTCTCCCGTCATAAGGTTCTCAAGCACGGGAATAAAATCTTTCTGATAGCAGGGCTCCGCCGGGAGCTCATCTCATATCTGCTTGCCTTTTGCCGTCTCCCCGTGGCTGCCCGTCTCCAACGCCCCTTTCGCCGCTGCGCCCTTCGCTGCGCCCGTCGCTTCTGTGCGCATTGCCTCTGCGCCCTCTGCTTCTGCGCCCGTTGCATTTGCGCCCTTCGCCTCTAGAACATTCGCTTCAGCGCCATTCGCGTCTGCGACCTGCGCCACCGCGCGTCGCAGTTCGTCAACTTCGCTCTTGAGAGCAGCCATGGCCTCCTCCTGCTGCGCCAGCTTCGCCGCTAACTGCTCTACTCGCGCCTCCATTCCTCCTGCTGCCTCACTCACCGTCTCTCCGTCTGACATGGCTCCCGTTATTGCCCGTTGCAATTGCGACCGTACGAACGTCGAATCACTAAGGGAAGCGCTAGGTGTCGGAGTGGTTCAAATCAAGAGTGGGAAGATGGGACGATGGGTGAGGCCCATTTTTCTCCCTCTTGGCTTTGGCTGCTTTTCTTTGTCGGACCACCACCACCGTCCTGATTTGCACGGGTGCGGGTAGGGGAACGGCGAAGGTAAAAACCGCTCTACATTGCACTACATCGTCTTCAACTGCTTTTACCGTAGAGGAAGCTAACTCTCGTGACCCTCCAAGAAAGCTGACTCGGTGGAGGAACCTTCTAGGGATCGCGTCTCCGTTTTGGCAGAGGGTCCGCTAAAAATATGCGTTTTGAAAGAGAACAGTGCAATGTAAGAAGGGTATGAGGGGAAATTGGAGATACCAAGTGAGCAACAACATAAGATTGGAGGAAATCGAAAACAAATGCCAACGGTAATACAAGGGAAATGCAATGCATGGAGGCTTGGGAATGTATATCAGCAGTAGTAATGTACTGCATGTAAACACATTTTCTTTGTGTAAATAATATAATGTAGTCTAACAGCCTACAATTTAACCTGTTCTTATCATGTCTAGCCTACCCTCCCGTTTGTCACACAAAAAATGAGGCGTCAACCATATGACTACTAGAGTGGCCCTGGGGTCACAACCATTCCTGGGAAAGTGTCCCGAATAAACCCTTCTACATCTTCTGCTTCTACTGCAATCTCCTGGAGGCACGGAAGGCCCTTGAGCCAGTTAACCCCACTTGCAGTTATCTTAGCATCCCACATTCCCAGCTTCTCCAAGCGTTTCAAGTTCCTCAGGTACTTCATGCCAGAGTCAGTCACTCCGGGAGGCAAAATGAGGTAAGTCAGTGAGGTGAGGCCCTTGAGATGCAGCAGCCCATCCTCCCTCACTCCGCCGTCATGCAGTGTAAGATCCTGTAACGCTGTCAGCTTGCACACATGCACCATACTGGCGGATGTAACCGACACACACCCACCAAGGCGAAGCGCGTTGAGTGCAGTCAGCCCTTTGAGCCTAGCTATTCCAACATCTGTGACCTTGCTGTTTTCAAGAGAAAGCACGCGTAGGCTCGTCACGCGGTCAATACCCTCAAGGGCAGCATCCGTTGTGCATGGGCCCGAGAGATCCAGATGCACGAGCGCTGGCAGGGAGTAGAGCTGCCGCACCCCCACGGCGGTGAAGCCGGAGGAGTTTTCGAGGTTGACGATTAAGAGCTGGCGGAACGAGGCGAGGAGAGTGAGAGCTGCGTCTGTGAGGCAGGAGATGCCGCGAGGTCCATTTCATCCTGCTGCGGTGCTGTTCTGGCCCAGAGCGTGAGGAGTAACTGCAGCGGAAGGATGGGTACGAGAGGGACGAGAGGGAATGAGAGGGAATGAGAGGGACGAGAGGGACGAGAGGGACGAGATGGACAAGCTCCGGAGCTATGTGTGTACCACCAAGCATTCAACATGCTGCTGCGCATGCTCCCACGTGCCATGTCCCCACCCGTGCGCATGCATCTTCTCGTGCGTGACCAATAACCAGTCCCATTGACCAACCATCTCAGGAACAGTTTTGTTCCTGAAATACATGCGACATACATGCACTCTCTCATGCATGCGATGGGAGCACCTGTTCCTGGAAAACCAAACAATAAAATAAATGCGAAAGTCATGCACTCACCTCCCACACCCGCCCTCCTTTGCCATTACTCTTCTCCTGCTTCACCTTAGGCCATCCACCACCGCTCTCAGTCCCGACAGGGCAGACTTCATTCCTCCGCCATCCTGTTTTCCATCGGAACCGTCGCGATCGGCGATAAGTGCGCAACCACCCGCAGCAGCAAGCGCCAAACCCTCCGCCTTCACTGCCTCATCCCGCTTTCGCTTCTTCCCCTCGGGCACCTCCGCTCCCCCAGCCTGGTTGCGCTCCGCGCGCTCCTTCTCCCACGCGCTCTTCCCCTCCGCCACCGCCAGTTCCACGTCGTTCATCCGCGCCTCCGTGTGCGCCGCCGTCGCGCGCACGTACGCCACTTCCGCCGCCTGCCGCTCCGCCGCAGCCCTCATCCGCGCAATCTCCGCCTTCAGCGCACCCACCGCATCTGCCGCCTCCCTCCGCACCGCCTCCACCTGCTCCTTCATCCCCTCCACCTCCGAATCATACTCACTCCTTACTCTATCCACGTGCTCCTCTATGTACCTGTCCAGAAACGGGATACGATTGGTCGGCTCGGAAGGATGCGCCGCGGGGAGGGTGTCCCCTGCTTTCCCTGCCTTCCCCGCATTCCCTGCCGCTGCACTCTCCGCCCCGTCCTTTCCCTTCACCGTCTCCCCCTGCCTTTCCGTCGCCAACGCCTCTTTCGCCGCTGCGCCCTTCGCCGCTTCGGCCTTCGCCATCGTGCGTTTCATTTCGTCAACTTCCTTCTTGAGAGCAGCCATGGCCGCCTCCTTCTGCGCCAGCTTCGCCGCTAACTGCTCTATTCGCGCCACCATCCCTCCTCCCGTCTCCGTCAGCATCCCACCCGCGACCTCCCCCGGTCACAGCCTCACAGGCACACCATTCACCATCCGCACCATGCCTCCCGCCATCGCCATTAGCAATCGCGCCCGGACGAATGTGGGGCTAGAAAGACCAAGTACTGTCACGTGGTACTACTGGTGGGGCAAGTACCAGGGGCGTCGGCTCTTTGAAATTGGGAAGATGGGATGTTGGGGTTGGCTTGTGTGCCTTCTCCCAAGCTAGTGTTGAACGATGTTAGTTCAGGCATGAGCGTTTTACATGTCAAATGCTGCTCTCTGGATGATGCGATCGTTCAAGTTCGTGCTGAACTTCTTTGACGTTGGATTGTTTCGTTGAGGTCGAAAAAAACTGGGAGGCGGCATGTTGCACCGTCGTGTCACAACAAGCTCTGCTTGCATTGCAGCCCCGCAAGTTTTATTCCCATGATCCCATCTCCGTCACGATCTCAATTTGTCGTGAAGCACAATCACGGACGGAGGCCGTTGCGTTGCGATGCGAACGTAAAATGCAGCGGCATTTTCAAATGTGCGATGCGTCTCGAACAAACATGAAAGCCGCACTGCTATGGATCATGCTTGTTTTGGGGTTGTGTTCACATATTCCAATCAGTGTACCCTAATACACACAGTTCTCGCCAATTTCACTAGGGCCAATTTCACCCCCCTGTGTACTCGTTTTTAATTTCCCCAAATTTGAGGCTTGTTTCGAATAATTTGGTTTTAAGGAAAGCAATGACTGGGACTGCGCACATGGGTCGGCGGAAAAAAAACAAGAGGCGACGAAATCGTCTTAGGGTTGCGAAGCGCTTTGCGTTTTCCAAAATTACATTCATCAATGTACATTTTCAAATTGTATGAAATGCACGAGGCAGCAATATTGATGAGTATTACTGAAGCCTTTTTAGTTGAATTCTCCACATTCAATCAATTTCATACTAGATACTTATATGCTTTGTGTTGTGGTAAAAGAGGAAATCAAACTAAATGTTGATAGTCTTACAAGAAGAATTTGGTGTTACAGATCTAAAAGAAACTGCAAAAGCGGATCTCGCGGCTCAAACATTAGCCATGGCGAGTACGAACCGGCAACCTTTGACTTACTTCGGAAGATCGAAACCACTACACCAAATCATCTGTTAACGAATGGTATCGTGTAATCCCTGATGGTGTTTTGTTTAAAAAACAACTTCCTGCCTAGGGTTTCGAGAAACTTCTTTTCCCTGGCTCTTCCAAGTTATGGTTCTAGATCTAGTCCCGCTGCTCACGCCAGTCAGGCCAGTCACGCCACCTACAGGTCCTCACGCCACTCACGCCACTCTAGATCTAGAGGTAAGCTTTGCTACTTCTTATTCTTAAGCTCACTAGACATTGTAGAATATATTTGTATAGATTCAGACGCCTTTTTTTACCAGATTTAGGTGTAACGACCTTCTTCTATTATCATCATCTCTGTTCACGTTTTGTCTACCTTGATTTTGTTGCTTATTCTAGTTTCCTTTGCTTCTATCTCTCGCTCAGTCCGGCGTCCGTCTCTCTCCTTCATTCTTCCTTCTTTATCTTCTTCCTAACGTCGTTCTGCTGGTGCAAGTCGCGCCACCCTCAGCGTCATGCGCTTTATACGCGGAGGCAGCAGCAACGAAGGGCACGAGCATGTCGTCAGAACTTGGTGAGTTCAGATTGTGAAAGAGAGTGAGAGAGTAGTTAATAGTTCGTAAGCAAAAATACTACGGGATAAAGAATGCGGGAGAGTGACAGAGTATGAGAGCTTACTCCTTGGGTTTGTTAAGGCGAAGCCCTGCACGCGCCTGGTTTCGCGTGTAGCAGCCCTATGCGGAGTAGCGAGGCTTCGCATACCGCATACCGGTTTTACCAGTATTGCGGTATTCGCCAAGTACACTCCAATCTGTGCGCTTCGTGTCAAACTTATATGCTATAGTCTGTGTAGGCTGTAGTGGGGTAGACTATATGGGGTACAATATTTCTAGGTTTTCCTACTTGTACCCACCTGCTTGCTAGTTCATTCATTCCTCATTCTTTCACATGGTATAGAGCAGGTTCCCTAGTGGGAACGCTTCCTTGGGCCCACCACTGAATTTTTTTTTTTTTCTGACCGGAGCGCCATTCGCTGCTACCCGAGGCGCGCCCTGTGGGCCGCCCTTCCGTCGAGGTCCCTTAGAGGCCCCTCCCACGGCCCCCCGTGCCGCCCCTCGCGGCCCCTAGCGGCCCCGTCGCCGCCCCTACGCGGCCCCGTAGCCGCCCCTAGCGGCCCCGTCGCCGCCCCCTACGCGGCCCCGTCGCCGCCCCCTACGCGGCCCCGTCGCCGCCCCTAGTGGCCCCGTCGCCGCCCCTAGCGGCCCCGTCGCCGCCTCTCCACCTACGCGGCCCCGTCGCCGCCCCTAAGCGGCCCCATCGCCGCCCCTACGCGGCCCCGTCGCCGCCCCTAAGCGGCCCCGTCGCCGCCCCTAGCGGCCCCGTCGCCGCCCCTAAGCGGCCCCGTCGCCGCCCCTAAGCGGCCCCGTCGCCGCCCCTAGCGGCCCCGTCGCCGCCTCCCTACCTACGCGGCCCTGTCGCCGCCTCTACGCGGCCCTGTCGCCACCCCTACGCGGCCCCGTCGCCGCCCCTAGCGGCCCCATCGCCGCCCTCAGCGGCCTCGTCGCCGCCTCCCTACCTACGCGGCCCCCTCGCCGCCCCTAGCGGCCCCGTCGCCGCTCCCCTCCCTACGCGGCCTCGTCGCCGCCCCTAGCGGCCCCTTCAGCCGCCGAGCCGCCCAGCAGCCGAGCCGCCGAGCCGCCAAGCCGCCCGACAGCCGAGCCGCCCAGCAGCCGAGCCGCCGAGCAGCCGAGCCGCCCAGCAACCGACCCGCCGAGCCGCCCAGCAGCCGAGCCGCCGAGCCGCCCAGCAGCCGAGCCGCCGAGCCACCCAGCAGCCGAGCCGCCGAGCCGCCCGACAGCCGAGCCGCCCGACAGCCGAGCCGCCCGACAGCCGAGCCGCCCAGCAGCCGAGCCGCCGAGCCGCTTAGCCGCCCAGCAGCCGAGCCGCCGAGCCGCCCTGCCGTCGAGCCACTACTGTTCCTACCGGCGTGCCCCGGCCCTACTTACTCGGACTGGTGAGATCACTCCCTGTTAGGCCACTGCAGTCATGGCTACCCCCAGTGTTCTTACCTTTGATACTGAGGGTCGTGCTGTTGACTTTGAGGTCTGGGTCGATGACCTCCAGCTGTTCCTCCAGTGCGATAGGGCAGACGGACTCTCCCTGTTCGATCTCACCTCTGGTGCCTCCCCTGCCCCGCCTGCTACTGCTGACAGCACTGTTCGCTCACAGTGGGCCACACGCGATGCTGCTGCCCGTCTTGCTGTGCGTCGCCACTTACCGACCACTGAGCGTGCGCACTTTAGCCAGTACAAGAGTGCTCAGACCTTGTACGACGCTGTAGTTGCACGCTACTCCTCCCCTGCCACTGCTGCGCTTAGCCGCCTCATGCTGCCATACCTGTTCCCTGACCTTGCTGCCTTTCCCACAGTCGCTGACCTCATTACGCACCTTCGCACTAGTGACACTCGCTACCGCGCTGCGCCTCCTGCTGAGTTCTGCGCCAAGAACCCCCCCCCCCATGTACATCACCCTCTACTACATAGTCACCCGGCTCCCTGACTCCCTTCGCCTAGTCAGGGACCACTTCCTCTCAGTTTGCCCCACCACACTCACCGTTGACCTCCTCGAGGAGCGCCTCCTAGCAGCAGAGAAGAGCATAGTCGCTGTAGGAGCATCTCGTGGTGACCCTCGCACCCCAGTCTTTGAGGGGTGTTCCCCCTCCCCCCTCTTGCCCTCTGTTGCTTCTGCTGCTGCTGCCGACCTCGTTGGTTTCTACGGGGTCGGCGCTGCGTCTGCCCCTAGCGGGAGACGCCGCACCGGCAAGGGCAAGGGGGGCAAGGGCGCAGAAGGGGCTGGCGGGGGCGGTGGAGGTGGTGGTGGAGGCAGTGGAGGGGGTGGGGGTGGTGGTGGGAGTGGTGGCGGGGGTGGAGGCGGCGGTGGCAGCAGTGGAGGCGGAGGAGGCGGCGGTGGTGGCGGAGGGAGCGGAGGCGGCGGAGGTGGCGGAGGCGGCGGAGGTGGCGGAGCACAGGGGGAACACGCACAAAACAAGAAACCCAAGAGAAAGTGTACGACAGCATGACGATAGGTATAACCGACATACTCTTTCACGGCAGCGCCTACGGGTCGAAGTGCTGCCTGACGCGCCATGTTCGAGTTGTCAACATATTTACTGAAAGACACAAGGAGAAACACGCAAAAAGCCACGGAAATTCTTATTGTGAGAAGCTGACGACGGGATATATGATAAGACTGCAACCATAGAAGCAGCAGGGGAAAATAAAACAGGAAGAGACAGTCGCGCGACGCGGGCATTCGAGCTAAGAGAGTGAGGAGAAACGTATGACAGGATTACGAATGAATCAAGAAATGAACAGCGAGACTCTTGAAGGTGCAGCTGGGGACAAACGCATGGTTGGAGCAGGCATGAAGGATGGGGTGGGGTAGCGAGGGGCAGTACAGGTCAAGGGATGCGACGTGTCTTGAACAGATTCGACCACAGGTTATGGTCAGCGACGTGGCGTCAAGAAATTGCACACTCACAATTTCATTCGCTATCCTGTGTCAGCTGGCAGCCGAACCACGCATGTAATCTACCCGAACCTGCCTGTGTGGGTACAGTATATGGACGGGAAGTGACGTTGGTTTTATTTTGAAGACCAAGCAGTACAGCGAGATGCAAGAAAATATCAGTCACGACCGTGCTGTGCTGGACAAGTTGCATTGGTGGTGTTGTTTGACTTCAGAAATCGTAACATGTCTCCAATGCCAGTTACTGTTAGCTAATTTTCGCCAAATGCGAAATGTTTTCGCCAGAATTCGGTTGGATCATTTGGGCCCTGCGCCTAGTCTGTGGTGAACTTCGCTACCTGGTTGCGACTTCG